GAATCAAGACACACACACACACACACACATCACAGGTGCTTTGTTGCCTCCCCCACCCCCACACTTCCCATAACTTTCCCACGTCTTCTGGGGAGTCGACGATGACTTGTGCCTCTGTGCTTTCCTCCCTCCTGCAAAGGCGAGGGCCGGCCCGAAAGCCCGAGGGCCTCTCGGGCCCACGGCGACGCCCTTGTTGCTTCGGCGACCCAGCTGTGCCTCGGAGAGGCGGCCCGCCCAGCTTGCCGTCGCTCGGACGTCTCCTCCGCGTGCCCTGCTCGAGGTCGTGCGTGCTGTGTCTTGCTGCACGGGCCGGTCCAAGATCCTCCTCGACGGTCCTGGCCTCATGCTGCTCCCATCGTACTTGAGGACCACATCCCAGGAATAGTTTCGAGCACCCAGAAAGGTGTCGAAAGAGTGTGGGGACGTCGGGACAGTGTCGAAACAGTGTCAGACGAGTGTCTCCCAGGGCCCGACACGCGAAAACCCTCGAGTTTGGGGGTACTTTTTGGGGGGTTCGAGATTATTTCTGGCCATCAAGGCTAGAGTAGGTTGGAACATCATCATCCTAACCGAAAAAAAGGCACACGCCCGAGCGATGCCAGGCGTATCCGAGCAGACACCCGCCGCCGCGGCGGGGGCCGCGCGCTTCGACCGCTCGTCCGCGCGGGACCGCGCCGCCCGCACGCCCGCGGCAGCAGCGGCCCCGAGCTGCCGCCGCCGCCGCCGCCGCCTTCGGCGCCCTCGCCGTCGTCGACCTCGCCGCCGTCGACGGGAGTCGGCGGCGTCGTCCGCGGCGCCGGTCGAGGAGCGCGGACCGAGGCTGAGAATCGAGGACCGAAGTCTTCTTCCGATCTCGCCGGGGCTTCTCTAGGCCTCCAGGGTCCCCCGAAGACCCGCGGAGGCCTCCCAGGGAATCTCGGGCGGCGTCGGCTGGAAGATCTTGGGCGCTTCGGAGAGCTTCTTGCCGCTAGAGCCAGACGCGGCTCGGAGGGCTGGTCAGGATACACCCTCGGAGGGGCCTGGGGGCTGGTGTGGGGGGACCTTCATTGGAGGACGCCCATACCGGCGGCACGGCGGCGGCATCGGCGGCGGCAGTCTGGCATCAGCGACGTAAAGGGCCATGTCAATGCTACTGCTGCTGCTGCCGCTGCCGCCGACGCCGCCGCCGCTGATGATGCTGCTGCTGTCGCCGTGTCGCCGTCCTGTCCGAGCCCTCTGCTGTCAGGAAGGTCATCTTGGCCCCGCTTTGTCGCCTGACCGGGAGGATTCTCACTTTTCATCCGCCATTCGCCCATCAATCCACCATTCCTCTCTTCCTTCCTTCTCCACCGCACTTCTCCTCCAACCTCCTCATACCCCTCCTCATCCTCCTCGCATCCATTCATACATCCGTCCATCCACCCATCCCTCCCCTCCTCCTCCACCTCCTCCTCCACCCTCCTCATACTCCTCCTCCTCCCTCCCTCCCTTCCTCCCTCTCTCCCATTACATCCATCCCTCCCCTCACCCTCCCCCTCCTTCTCCTCCTCCTCCTCCTCCTCCTCCTCCTCCTCCTCCGCCTCGCCCCCTCCCATCCATCCATCTATCCATCCACCCATCTATCCCCTCCGTCCACCCCCTCCTCCTTCTCTCTCCACCCTCCTTCTCCTCCCCCTCCTCCTCCTCCTCCACAATTACTGAACAAAAAAAATACCACTCTCCTTCTTCCCCTGATGACGGTTTGAGAGTGTCCGACCCCCCCCCCCCGCGTACTGTTTTTTACACACAGGTTTCCCCGGAGTTGGGTTTTCGCCTGCATTTTTTCCAAAATGCTGCTCTCGCTGAGGCGCCGGCCTCATTTTCGGGCCCCGCTCGTTCCGAATCGTGCTCCCGCTGCAGCGCTGGCCTCATTTCCGTGCTTCCGCTCGTTCCGAATCGTGCTCCCGCTGCAGCGCTGGCCTCATTTCCGCGCTTCCGCTCGTTTCGACTCGTGCTCCCGCTGCAGCGCTGGCGTCATTTCCCGTGCCATGCCACGGCATGCAATGCAATGCTAGGTTGATACTACGCTTGCGGTGCTCTTATAGCCATGCCATTGACTCGCATGACTCTACAATCAGATATGACGCGAGCGCACCTAGCTTGTCTCTACACCCTCCTCCTCCTCCTCCTCCTCCTCCTCCTCCTCCTCCCCTTCCTCCTCCGCCTCATCCCCCATCCTCTCTCCTCCTGCCTCCTCCTCCCTCCTCCTCCTCCTCCTCCTCCTACCTCCTCCTCCTCCTCCTCCTTCCTCCTCCTCCCCTCCTCCCCCCTCCTCCTCCTCCTCCTCCTCCTCTTCCTCTCCTCCTCACCACCCTCCTCCCTCCTCCCTCCACCCGACGACAGCAAAACGGCCGGGGGGGACGGGACCCCCCGACCGCGGGAGTGCGCCGAGGGCGCGGAGAGAGAGAACCGGGCCGAGGCCGAGGCCGCGGCTCCGCGCGACCCGGTGCCGAGGCGGGGCGCCGCCCGCGAAGACGAAGCCAGGAAGAGTGGGACGCACTGGATGTCCTCCCTGGAGGCACGCGTCCGACCTGAACATCTAGTGTGACGATCTTGCAGTACCTCGTTGCCCGAGCGGCGTGGCCAGAGAGCGCCCGCCACGGCACATGTACTAGAAGATTTCTCGGTGCTCGCGTCGCCCCCGGGGGGGCGA